CTCCCTTGAACCCAAGTGTTACTGTAGCTGGCGATTTCGAATTTTAGTGGAAAGTTTTCAGTAGAAAATAGACAACTTTAGAGTCCTGAAAATCGCTCTGAAATGTTCAGAATACAATGAAAATAGAATTATATTAATTTTTTAATATTTTATGACAATTTCCATTCTAATGAGATATATCTTCTAACCTTTTTGTTATCTGGAAATTTGGCTGATTTTCAGAAAACTCCTCTAAAAATTTCTGCAAAACAAAACTGTCTCATTTTGCATATTTTCTGTTCGTTTTCTTGCAATATATGACAGGTCGAAAAGAATAACACTCAATTCCCTTGTTCTTTTTTTCTAAAATATTCCAGTTTTTCACTTTTTACAGAATTTGACCACTGAAATTCAAGATGCTATTAAATTCAGAGCTAAATTTGAAAGAGGTAATAATTTTACAATTTTAACGTCCTTCATTTTCCAATTCTGCAATCGTGTTGTCAGTTTTAAAACAAGTTTTCCGGTCTAGACTATTAGGCACATGATTCGGAGGATACAACAATTCGGGGGTACAAACTAGTGTACTCCAATGACCTCAAAATTTTCGTACCCTTCGAATTATATGCTAGACTATTGTTAGTAAAATATCTGATTTTCCAGTCACAAAATCGCTGAAAAAAATCAAAGCATTTGTTTTTCAGAGTCAAAATTTGTTCAGACTTTCTTTTGGAACAAGATCTATTATCTCAAGATTTTTTGTTCAGAATTCCCTTTTTTATTGATTAAGTAAGGCAAAGTTTCAGAATTTTCAGATATCCGTTTCTAATTTTTTTAATGCCGTACTTTCTCTAAAAGCCCACTCTTGACGTGTACTTTGAGCTCATCTTAATTATCTCGGTTCCTATGAGATATATCAAAAAACTGTCAATTGATAAAATATTGATAATTTTATGATAAATAATTTTTTAGCTGACAGATTTTTGACATCTCTCATAGGAGCCGAGATAATTGAGCTCAAAATGCACGTACAGGGAGGGAGCAGATACGTTATTAGTCATTGGCTTCCGTATCAAACTATAATCAGCATTGATGGTAGTCAAAATCCAAAAAAAAAACTTATTCCACTATTAGCCCAAAAATCACTTCTTTATCATTTGTTTTTTAATCTCTCGATATACGAAAGTGTCAATTCTCCTAATAAAAATCACTGTTCTTTGTTCTAGAACTTTTGTTATTACTCAAAAAACCCTTAAATTGATCATGACACAACAGCTGCTTTCCGAGAACCAGTATATCTTAATTTTTCTATTTTTTCAGAATTTCCGAATATCGCCATTTTTCAAAAATGTTACAATTTTGAGATCCGGTTGAACTAACACTTTATATAATGCCTAATTTTAGAGTATACATGACAAAATTTGATTATAGTGTAGAACGAAAAAATTACGCCCGCTAGATATCAAATTCATTTCCCCGAATTTCTAGACACATGCGACGTAACTAGATTACCCTGGAAAACTGACTTTCGGTTTTTATTCCAACTTTTTCAGACACTCATAATATGTCCTTGTCGAATTGGACGATTGGCCAAATCTGGATAGAAGATTCCAGACCAGAAGACGTCGCAGAACCATGGGTTACGGTAGGTGCCGGAATTTTTATGATTTTGACTTCTGCCCTTGGAATTTTTATCAATCTATTTGTACTTCAACGATTTTTATGCAAAAATATGTCCAGTTTTTATATTATGTGCTCCTCGAAAACAATTTCGAATTCCATGATTTTGCTATGTTATGTTATTTTTAATGGGCCCGTTTCTGTGATGTAAGCTGTTTCTGTTCTTAAAATTTTGAATTTGGCGCCAAATCAATATTTTAGAAGACGTTACTACGGTCCAGAATTCCTGAATATGATTCTTAATCAAATGGCAGCCTACGGGATTTACGTTCAAGGCCCAATGACTCAAGTTTGCATTTCTTTCAACCGCTTTCTTATTATCTACTTTGCCACGTCAGCAAAACAAACCAACGGGAAGACTGCTACAATAGTATGAGCCTCTGAAGAATGTACAGTAATCCAAAGAATTGTTTCAGATTGCCTTATCAATTTGCTGGCTAATTTCCCTTTTTGTGACAGTAGCAGGAATTCCAGGAAATTGCACGAACATTTTCAATTTTGACATTTTGACATGGGACAATTTGGATCCGTGTGTTGACACTTTAGCAGACTCTGTTATGTATTGGATTGGATTTTTGGCGGTTATTTCGAATACTTTTAATGTAGTCGTGGCTATCAAATTGATAGTTTCATCGGTGAGGATTGCTGTAGCTAAATGACTTTTTTCCTGTGAACTGTGAATTCAATTATCTCGATTCATGTGAAAGATTTCAAAAGTGTGTCAATTAATGAAATGTTGATGACATTACGAACAACATTTTATCAGTGCACAGATGTTTTATATCTCTCGTAAGAACCAAGATAATTGAGTTCAAAGTGCTCGTACAGGGTGGGCTTCTATGTGAGGAAACGCGGTATAAAGTGTGCTCACTTTGAGCACCTGGTTTTGAATGAAAGATATCAAAAAATTGTTAACTGATAAATTGTTCATCATAATATCACCAATATCTAATCAATTGACAAACTTTCAAATTGCTGATAAGATCCAAAATAAATGAGCTCAAAAGACAAGAAAATACATTCCAGACAAAACCCCACATGGACTCTGTCGCTTCAAAACGACGCCGTCGAACTTCACGTCGTCTATTTTTCCAGTCTTGCTTCCAAGACTGGATTTATCTTATCGATACTATCAACAGCATGTATGTCTATACATGGTGTGCGGAAATTTTATGGCAATTCTTTTTCACTATTTTTTCGAACTTATTTGTTCACTTCGCTGATGGGTGAGTCGTCCAGAGTGTATTCTTCACTTCGACCTTCATCATCTCAATTCCTGTGAAAGATATTTTTTTAAAAAACTGTCAGACGCTAAAATAATAGGGACATTATGATAAATATTTTATCAGTTGACAACTTTTTGGTATCTTTGACGGGAACCGAAATAACTGAGCTCAAGGTGTTCCTCAGATGATCTAATAGAAGCCCATTCTATACATGCACTATGAGCTCAATTATCTCGGTTCCTATGGGAGATATAAAAAATCTATGAACTGATAAATTAATTATCATGACATCACCTATATTTTATCAGTTAACCGGTTTCTGATATCTTCTGAAAGAACCTGGATAATTGAGCGTAAAGTATACTGGATTTGCTCTAATAGAAGCTCATTCTTTACGTATACTTTGAGCCAATTATTTCAATTCCTATGAAAGGTTTCAAAAATTTGTCAACTGATAAAATGTTGATGTCATTATGATAAACATTTTATCAGTTGACAGTTTTTTGATATCTCCCATAGGAACCAAGATAATTAATTTCAAAGTTCAAGTACCTATTTTTCAGATGCATTATGCTATTCTTCAACTATGAGAAGAAACGAGTCCTGTTGCGTTTACCCGGAAAGAAAAAAGAGTGCACTTTTATAAATGTTACTTTTTGATTTTTTTTATCTGAAAATAAAAATAAAAATTGAGTTTTGAGATCATCAACATTTATTATGAAATCGTTTTTCTTTCAAAATACAATTTTAACATTTTTAAATTTTATTCGAAATTTTTCGAATACATTTCGGAGATCGGTGATAAGAACAATAAAATGATAAGAAACGTATGTACAGAAAAAGGTAGACAAGTTTAGAGAGTGAGCAAAGGAACTGGTGGAAAAATTATGTATAAAAAAAGTTGAACAAAATTTTTTAAATTTAAAAATCAAACTAAACTCTGGCGCAATCCCTGAATTTCAGCATCCATTTGGTCCAATTCCTTAAGAAGTCTCTCGAATTCTTCGTCGATTTCTTTTTGAATTTCTTCTAGAGTTTGAGCATCGTCGTCCTCTTCTGAATCAGGAAAATCAAAATCCGAGAAATCAGAAATTTCAGAATAGGTGTCTTCATCTTCTTCGAAGTCAGAAGTGGATGGCTTGAAGACTTCAGAATCCATAGAATAGAAATTTTCAGAGAAATTGGAATTAGTAGTGTCCAGAACAGCAAAAACAGTAGGATCCATCATTTTTGAAAAATAATATTTAATATTTTCAAGAAATTGCGAAATTCCAGTCTCCAATTTTTCTATTTATACACCCCGAGTGTTCGAATATTTTCGAAACTTGCCTCGTGTTGTTTGTGTGTCTTTTCTGGCCACTGGCATGTCTTTCTGTCTGGGTCTCTTGGAAATTTGAAGGAAAATGGAAAAATGACGGAAAGTCTGAGAAAAAAAAATTTAGAGGTGAGGAATTGATATGCATGTAGTACATGTACCTAGGGAAAGGATGACGTGAAGGCAATGGAATCGGACAACTTGGGATTCGAGAAGTTACAAAAATTCAAAAAAAAAAACAAAAAATCGGAATTCTGCAAAATGGACAATGATTCCAGAATAGAGGGAATTTTTAAAAAATAGAGTTTTTAAAATTTCAATTGAAAAAAGTATGCTCACTGGATGAAATTTTCCAATGGTTGATTGAAAATTTATACGGTTTGTAGATTTTGGAGCATTCAAGAATAGTCTAAATCCTTCTGTGATATCCCATTTCCCAAACTCCCATTAATTTGCCAAAATAAATTATTTAAAACTAATAAATCGATTTTTTTCCAATCATTTTTAATCTTTTGACACATATTCTCATGTAAAACAACTTGCCCAGGTCTTTTGCTTTAATCTTGATTATCTTGGTTCTTATTAGAGATATCAAAATTTTGTCAACGTAATAAATCTTAAAAGTATTATGATAAACAATTTATCAGCTGACAATTTTTTTATATTTCTTAAAGGAACCGAGATAATTGAGCAAAATATACTGGATTTTTGAACAGATTCCACTCTGTAAGTGCACTTTGAGCTCAATTATGTCAGTTTCTATAAGAGATATCAAAAACTTGTCAACTGATAAATTGTTCATCATAAAATCATCAATATTTTATCAGTTAACAGTTTTTTGATATATCTCATAGGAACCGAGATAATTAAGCTCAAAGTGCGCATATAGGGTGTGTTTTTATTAGGGAACACTGTAAAGTTTGAGCTCAATTATCTCGATTTCTGTGCAAGATATCAAAAATGTAAAAACTAACAAAACGTTTATGATATTGTGATAAACAATTTATCAGTTAATAAATTTTCTATATCTTCTCAAGGAACCGAGATAAATTGGCTCAAAGTTGGAAGTAAAGGAGGCCCTTCTATTACATGTGTTACAGTAGTTAGCTCACTTTGAGCTCAATTATCACTGTTTCAATAAGAGATACCAAAATGTGTCAACTGATAAAACATTTATCAAAATATCAAAAACATTTTATCAATTGACATTTTTTGATATCTCTCATGGAAACTGAGATAATTAAGCTCAAAGTGTGCGTACAGGGTTTTAGAGCCAATACTGTCTTTTTTTTTTGGTTATTTTGTTTTAAAATTTTGAAATTTCTGGCGAATTGAAAAGAAATAAAATAATGTCGAACTATCTCATTATTCTGAAACAATTTTCAGTTTTTTAAAAAAATTTCAGACTTGAAATATTTTTAGTAGATCAAAAATAGATCTGTGATGACCTGGAAGTCCGAAGAGAACTTCCAGTTCACGACTAGAAAGACTGAATATGATTAGAGGGTTGAAAGTTACATAGGACGACTAGAAGAACTACGAAGACTAGACTGCTTTGAGAGGTTGACCTGAAATGTAGCGAAAAGACAACTAAGGATTTAGATGATATTTTTATTAAATTGGAGAAAGCGTACAGGGTGTTTCCGCCGCGTTAAAACTCCTGATAATACTGCATGGGACCGGGACACCTTGTACATAAAGGGGAGTAAGAAAAGGGAATTCTGCATCATGAAAACATAAGAAAAATTGGGGTTTTCCAGTCCTGCGATACGCGAGTCCTCTGCGTAGACGACGGACTCGTGTGGGCTTTCCAAGGCGGTTCAGTTCCATCTGCGAAGAATAAATCTGCAATAATCTGCGGGGGACAAAAACTGCGCATACAAGCCTGTTTCTAGACAGAACCTGTATTAATTCATAGAAAACGTGCGAAGTTATGAATCTGCCGAGGGAAATTAAATTACAATTGGCAAGGCCTAAAATTATCCATCAAGCGCGCCCCTTTGGACACCGATGAGAGAGCGTGGCGACTGAAGAGACGGGAAGAGAAGCGACGCGTCGGCGGGAAATACAAAAAAAAGAAGTTGAGCCTGATGGGAAAATCTGTAATTAAAATATAAAACAAGATAATGAAAAATTGGGAAAAGTAAACTGCAGGTCTGCGGCTGCTTAGTTGTGCTGATCTATGTATTGTCTCCTGCCGTTTTAGACGTGTTACTCAGTCGGTTTCACACTGCTTTTGCGAGAAGGATTCCACCCGACTTGTGGAAGCGAAAAGTAGTATAAGTAGTGCATTGTTAGAAAAATATTTTTCAGACTTTCTGGACCAATCAAAGCATTCCTGAAAGTATATTTTCATGCGCATGAAAGAGATATTCACTCCGGAATCCAAACTCTATCAGGCAGAATCTGTTAAAATCAGTCAACTCCTACACACTGTCCCTGCTGCTTTACGTTACTTTCAAGAAAAACAAGCAGTCATACAATGCAGTATACGCAAAATTCCAGATTTGATCGAATTCGTAACCGGATGGAAATCTTGAGAAGCATTTCACATACTAGAATATTTACAAATAGAAATACGTTCGGATGAAATTCCCCAGAACCATTTTTTAGATGAAATCGGTGCAAAATATATAAGTTCAAACAGGAAACCACCGACACATACTCTGCCCAAAGTGTAATTTATTTGGATAGAATTTAAGAAAGAGCCAATTAATTTACAGCCACGTGGAAGATGATGTTTTGACTGTGATGGCTGGGGATGTGAAACTGAATACGGATCCAAACACGAGTCACACATATGTTGTGAGAGAAATGGATAATCGCGTAGCATCTGTTCTGATTCAGGGAGGAACGTTCAGTTTTGGAGTGTGGGATAAAACGGAAGAGGAGTTCTTAAGGATGTTGGACTAGTTGAGAGCTAGCAGATATCAAAATATCAACCAGTTCAACAGTTATAGAAATCAATCAAGTTTCTCCTGTCATCGTGTTTACTTCATAGTCACTGTTCAAGCTGTCCTTTTTTTAAAATAATTTGTAATGAATTTCATACATTTTTCGTATTCCTATTCGTAAGTCACATTGTATTGCCTTCAAACGAGAAATAAGACACCTAATGATGCGACAGATTCTACCAGATTCACATAATTCACATCAAACATTTGGTCGTGTGTTTTTTTCCCTGGGACCAGGACCAATTAGTTTATGTCTTGACCCCCAACTCAAATCTTGTCCGCGGGACTAAGTGTTTTTTCTTTCTTCTCATCGTACGACCACTTCTATTCCTCTATTATCTTTCGAATATTTGCAGAAATAAAAACAATGAAATTACTTAAGTTTCCGTTTTTGGTCCAGAAGGAGATACTTCAAAACTTAGAACCGTCATATCTATTTTTATTGTCCTTTGTCTCTAATAATATGAAGAAACTAATCAAATCGTCTCAATTGAATCGATTCAGAAGTATAGAATTTATTAGATATGACTGTTGTTCTAATGGACGAATTTTTGTTTACATTATGTCCAGAGACAGTTGGCTCGAGGAGATATTGAGATTTGCCGAGCACGAGGAAACTGATGAAGGTTATTTCCAATTGAACGTATTGGGAGAGACAATTGATTTCCGGTAAGTTATGATGAGTATTGCATCTTAAAAGTATAATTATCTCAGAATATCAAAACTGGATCGTCCTGTTTCATTGATTCACGAGGGTGAATATGAACCAGTCATTCAATTGATTCATGGTTATTTCCTTGGTTTTTTCGGATCTTCTATCGAGTATCAATGGATGGCACGTGACTACATGCATTCTATTCCACTGCTTCAAAACTTATCAGCATGTTTTGAAATGATGGTTATTGACTTTTATTCGGAGGACTATAACCAACTTGAACACTTTTTCTCCTCATATCCGGTTTGGAAATGGATTAATATCTACTTTACGAGGATGACAGAAGTGTTTAGTCCACAATCGAAACTATATCAGGCAGAATATATTCAGATCGATCAACACACTGCCACTAATGTTTTACGTAATTTTCAAGGAAAACGAGCAGTTATAAACCACACCATTTTCGAGGTTTTGGACTTGATCGAGTTCATAAATAAATGGGAATCTGGAGAAGCATTTCACAAACTAGAATATTTAAAAATTGAGAAACGTTGGGGCGAAATTTTCCAGGACCATTTTTTGGATGCAGTTGGTGCAAAGTATATTGATCCAAACAGAAAACCCCCAACACATACTCTGCCCAAATTGTAAGTTAATTTTATGAAATTCTAAGAAGAAAGCATTCATTTTTCAGGCACATTGAAGATGATAGGAAACTGTGTTTGTATATGAATTCAATCACCAGTCACACATATGTTGTTAGAAAAACAGATAATTGTGTAGCATCAGTTCTGATTCAGGAAAGAACGTTCAGTTTTGGGGTGTGGGATAAAACAGAAGAGGAGTTTCTCAGAATGATGGACTAGTTGAGAACTAGCGGGTATCAAAAAAATCATTGTTATGGTTTTGATAATTGATCAAACTTCACTGTAATCAGTTTTTATTGCATTTTTATTCTTCAAAATGTTAATTTTCATCGAGGAATGGTAATCAATCAAGTTTCTCCTGTCATCGTGTTTTCCTGATTTGATCGAATTCGTGAATAGATGGAAATCTGGAGAAGCATTTCAAAAACTGGAATATTTGAAAATTGAAATACGTTTGAATGAAATACCCCTGAACCATTTTTTGGATGTAATTGGTACAAAATATCTTGATTTCACTAGCAAACCCCCAACACATACTCTGCCCAAAATGTAAGTTCTTTTTACAAAATTCTAAGTAGAAAACAATTATTTTTCAGGCAAGTTGAGGATGATAGAAAGCTGAATACGGATCCAATCACCAGCCACGCATATGTAGTTAGAGAAACGGATAATCGTGTGGCATCTGTTATGATTCAAGCGAAAACGATGAGTTTTGGAGTTTGGGATAAAACAGAAGCGGAGTTTCTCAGAATAATAGACTAGTCGTAAAGTAGCGAATTTCAAAAAAATCATTGAGTTATGGTTATGATAATTGATCAAACTTCCACTTTAATCAGCTTTTTAATTGCATTTTTATTCTTAAAAATTGTTTTGTTCATTGATTCATGGTAACCATTCCCACTTTTTCTGTAATCCATTTTTAACTAAGTGTTTACTATTCAAACTGTTTTTTCAAAATTCTCATTGATAACGAAGTACTGATAAGCCTTACTATTTAAGTCCCCCCCCCCCATTTATCATGGAAACGGGATTAGAGTTCCCGCTACGCGCTTATCTATAGTTTCGCCATGTTAATCCTGAATAAATGTATTCACTGAAGTCGTGTTTGGAGTTAAGTGTAAAGTGACATGCCGAAGGGCAGACAAGTACATTGGTTTTTTTGTATTCCTATTTTAAGTCATATTGTGTTTTCTTCAAACGAAGAAGAGGGCACCTAATGATGTGACAGATACCATATTCACACAATTAACGTTAGACATTCATCTATCGTTATTTTCCCTGGAACCAAGACCAATTAATTTGGGGTGACACCTAGATCCATCTAATCCACAAAGAGTAAACTCCTATGGGAGGTGGGAGTAGATGTATGAACCAGTCAAGGTCATACACTTGCCGTTGTACCTCTTCATTTTGTTATCTACCTTTCGGGTTATCTGCCACGTCAAGTACCGTGTTTCTGGTCCTTCTTTGTCTCATATTTCCCTTCTATTTTTTTCTCTAATTTTTCTATCATTTTTTTTCCTAAAAACCGTTAATTTTTTCCAGAACTAACAACAATGAAACTACTCAAATTTCCGTTTTTGGCCCAAAAGGAGATACTTCAAAACGTAAAATCGTCAGAAATATTTTTATTGTCGTTTGTCTCCAAAAAAACGAAGGAGTTAATCAAAGCGTCTCAATCGAACAGATTCAAAAATATAAATTTAATCAGATATGAGTGCTATCGTGATGGAAAAGTTTCTGTTTATAATTATCCCAGGGAGAGTTGGGGCTATATGTTAAGATTTGTAGAGCGAAAGAAGCCTTATAATGATTATTTCCAGTTGAACGTATCTGGAAAGCTGGGGAATTTTCGGTAAGTAAAGATGAGTATTTCATCATTAGGAAAAATTTTTTTTCAGATTTTCTGGGCCAGTCAAAATATTTCTGAAAGTATATTTTCATGCGCATGAAAGAGAATCAATAATCAAATCGATTCATAATTATTTTCTTGATTTTTTTGGAAATTCTATGGAGTATCAATGGATGGCACGCGACTACACGCATCCTATTCCACGACTCCAAAATTTATCAGCATGTTTGAATAAGCTGATTGTTGGCTTCGCTTCGCGGACAGTGAAAACCTTGAAAACTTTTTCTCCGCATGTCCGGTTTGGAAATATATTAATATGTACTTTACGACGACAATAGATACCACATTGAGTCTGAAATCCAAAATCTATCAGGCCGAATCTTGGTGCAACAAGAAAACCGCCGATACATACTTTACCCAAAGTGTAAGTTAACTTTATAAAACTTAAAAACGAATTAATTAATTATTCAGGCACGTGGAAGATGATGTTTTGACGATGATGGCTGATGATGGGAAAATGAATACGGATCCAATCACCAGCAACACGTATGTTGTTAGAGAAACAGATAATCATGTAGCATCTGTTCAGATTCAGGGAGGAACGTTCAGTTTTGGAGTATGGGATAAAACGGAAGAGGAGTTTCTCAGAATGATGGACTAGTTGTGAAAGAGCGAACTTCAAAAGGTCATGGTTATGATAATTGATCACACATTCACAGTAATCATTTTTTATTGCATTTGTTATTTTTCAAAATGTTAATTTTCATTGAGAAATGGTAATCAATCAAGTTTCTCCTGTCATCGTGTTTACTTCATTTTTTCTGTCCAAGCTATTCTTTAAATACATGAATTTTAATAAATTTCGTTACTTGATTTGTTGCAATCCTATTTGTAAGTCACAAAAAATATTTCAGAAAATAAGCAATTTTTTGAATTTCTAAACTTGTTTCAATATTTTCATGAGAGATCAAAAACTAGTTGAACATTTTCGAAATGCCGGGAACTATTTTTTTTCAAACTTTTCAAACGATTCTCAACTTTTTTCGCTTATTTTCTCTACCTAGTAATCTTGAGATTTTGATATTTATTTGGTTTCCAGAAACTTATCAATGGAGGACCACGACACTCCACAGAATCTCCAGTGAATGATGATTTTCCGCCAAATTCAGCTAATCAAAATCCAGAAGTCGAAGTAACTTTGGAAAGTGAGTTTTTTAGAAGCCCGTTCTATACGTGCTCAATTACCGTAAAACCTCTAATAGAACGACACCCGGATCGTCCACTTTGAGTTTATATATCTCACTTCTTTTAAAAGATATCAAAAAGTGGTTAACTAGTAAAATGTTTATCAGGATATCAG